TGTTTTAATATTACTATAAATTAAATTTAACATGGTGTTGTGTTCCAACTTTTGCAGTATTAGTGCACCATGGAGATAGATAGCTCCTAACTATGGGTATGAACCACATAGGATTATTTGCTATCCCCACGGAGTGTATCTGTTAACTGCAAACCCTAAGTGGGGGAGGGGGGGATCAGTAGTTCAGACTCTATTTCTATGTCTAAATTTAGAAAATATAGACCTAATACAGTTCCTGAAATGCAAGAGAATTTAAAAAATAATATTAATAATAATAATGTCATAAAATTATCTATTTCATATACAGTCAAAAGTCGTTAATCCGGACTCGTCGGGACTTCGACGATTCCGGATTATCGATTTTTCCGTATTATAGATCATCAGTTTAAATCTGGTAAGATGGCATGCAGAAATTACAAAATTAAAAATATGAAACCGTAATTTATGAAATAAAGAACAATTATGATCTAAAGGGTATCAAAATTTACAAAAAGAACAAGCTTAATATTTATTTGTTTACTTCATTAAACATTTCTTTCAATGTAAGTTGTTTAAGTTGCTTCATTTCATGTGATAATACTTTCTCTTTAATTCTATTAAACAGACATAATTTCTTGTTTAGTTACAAAGTTCCGCTGTTCAAGTCCTATAATTGCTGTGTCGAGAATACCGACTAATTTGTCAATCGAAATGTTTTCGTTTTCAATAACCTCTCTGTCACTTTTGTCGCTGTCAGAAGCAAATTATAATGATGAGGAACTTGATTTAAATAATATCAAAGACAGAGTACATTGAGATGAAATATTACATTTAGTAAGGAATTATAAGCGAAATAAAATAAAAACATCTGCCCTGATAAGCTGAAGGATAAGAATAAAATTAAAAGAGCAAGCGCACGTCCATTGCATTCGTGATAACCGAGTTTTTGAGATGCAATATGCCTTGATCCATTTTTTGGCAATTCCACTTTTTTCAACTACGGCAGCGCCCGTTCATTCAGCCGCAACGCCTCGTTTATTTTCTACCTAGTTCTTTCCCCTCCACGTTAGTGTATGGCTCATTGGTTTCGCGTGTTGTTAAAAGACATGTTAATCATTCTTTTGAAGCAAATAAAGGAGAAATACGGAAAGCTATTGACGTTCGCAGGTGCAATCCGGCCCTAAGGTGAAACTGCGCACAATGGATGAATGGATGAAACCGCAAAAGGGGGAAAGGAAAACTATTCCAAGACAAATTCGTAAACACGGGCGTTTTCGATGTTTGTTGAAAACAGATTTGGTCGTCTCTCGATGCGAAAGAGTTAATGGACTTCTAAACATACTTTCGGTTTGTAGATCCTTTACATATTAGTAAATATATATCGGAAATTCTATTTGCCATAATCGAAAGTTCAAGCTTACTTTTATAAAATTGCTCTAACAGTCTGCAAAAAATAATAAGCCGGATCCATTTCGAAGATTAAGGAACAACGCAATCTGCAACATTAACAGCTTAGCTTATACCGTCCGTTATACATCAAACACGCATGCGCAAACGTATTATGTGCTTGCGCGCATGCATATTCGCAGCCGTAAAAGTCTTATGCGCATGCGTCAACGCGATGCATGCGCAGAAAGTTTGTAGCTTTGAGGTCTGGATTATAGATCATTCCGGATTATGGGTGTCCGAATTAACGACTTTTGACTGTATATCTATTTCATAAAATCCCAATCGATTTCGAGGGCAAAACAGGTTTCCCTTCATCAAAAGCAAAAAATTTTCATCAGCAGGAGACCCATCTTGCGAGCCTACCAGTTGATGACTTTAAAAACATCAGCCACTTCAATGGTTGGTGGTCAGACGTGATTGTGATAGACTGGCTTTCAACATATCCTCTAAATTTGTTGAGTGCCCATACTACTGCTAAGGCTTCTTTTTCTATGGTGGAATAGTTTCGTTCTGATGTCAGCAAGCGGCTGGCATATTCTATAGGGTGGTTCTTCATTTTTCTCCCTTTGTAGCAACACTGCTCCAATGGCTACATTGCTAGCATCTGTGCGAATGATAAAAGGCTTCGTTTCCATCAGCTTGCTTAAGAATCGGCGGGCTAATTAATTTGGATTTCAGCTCTTGGAAAGCATTTTCTTGTTGTGCTTCCCACTTCCACAGCGCTTTCTTCTTTGTTAAATCCGTTAACGGTTTGGCTATTTGAGAAAAATTTGGAATATATCGACGATACCAGGAACACGTTTGTACGAACGATTGCACTTGCTTAACAGTTTTCGGCGATGATGCATGTCTGCAATGGCAGCAGTCTTGTGTGGATCAACAGCTATACCATGCTTAGTAATGTAATGCCCTAAATATTTCACTTTTTCACAACAGAAGTGGCACTTCTCACGATTAGCATTGAGCTTGAATAACGATAGACGTTGGAAAACTTGTTCTAAGTCAGAAAGGTGCTTTTCGAAGCTAGATGACAGCACGATGATATCATCTAAATATGTCAAAGCAAACACATTATTAAGTCCAGAACGGAACCTATCTATCAATCTAGAAAAAGTGGCAGGAGCGTTTCTCAATCCGAAGGGCATTCGGGTAAATTTATATGTACCAAAAGGGCAAACAAAAGCAGTCTTATTTTGATCTTCTTCAGCTACTCTCACCTGATGATAACCGGATCTCAAATCAATAGTTGACGTATAAGGTGTGTTGGTTTTGCTTCATTCAACAAATCATCTGTACGTGGCAAAGGATAAGTGTCTGTCTGTACGTGGCAAAGGTTAAGTGTCTGGAATGGTCTGAGCATTTAGGTTATGATATTTAGTGCATAACCGTTCTTTTCCATCTGCCTTGGGAATCAGAACCACAGGAGAGGCATAGGGGCTTTCACATTCTTTTATGATACCTTGTTTCAGAAGGGAATCAAGTTCCTTTTTCAACAGTTCTTTCTTACTTGGGCTCATCCGATATGGAGGGACTGAAACAGGGGGGCTGTTTCTTGTGTTAATATGGTGTTCAATGAATGGAGTGGCTTCTCCCCCTACTTTGAAGACAGTGTGATATTTGTTAAGCAATGCATCAGTTGCAAGCCGTTGGGCTGTAGTTAATTGTTGTCCTTCGTTTTCTCGTAGTTGGCAGTTGTTTACAACAACTGGGGTTTCTTCCAGTACTTGGGATTGATGAGGTTTCACGAAGCTATATTTTCTTCGAGGTTCATCAGAAAAGTTCCACTTATTTTCAGCAAGATTTAAAACAATTTTAGCTTTTTGAAGAAAGTCAATTCCTAACAGAGTCGAGTTATTTTTGGCATCAGGCAACACAAGGAGCGGACTTTTGAACTCTCTGCCTTCGAGAAGAATGATTTGTTCGGTGCGAAGTACCTCTTTTTCAGATACCAAACCATCAGCGAAAGATACCTCTAGTGTTGTCTTTTCAAATACTGCATCTTGTTTCTGCAGAATATGATAGAAGGATTCACTTGCGATTGAGTGACTAGCACCACTGTCGGCGAAAGCTGTACCAAAAACACCACCAGTACTAATTCTTAATATACCACTAAACTTATATATTTATATATATATATAAGGCAGATACAGTGCCCTTAAAAACTTAAAAGAAGACAGATTATATTACATATATTCTTGTCACTTTAAGGGTATTGGTTTGTAATATATTTGCCCAGTCTTGACCTCTGAATTAACTGCTATATGTTATGCCTTTTCCTTCATTTAAACTGCACTGTAGGAAATACATAATTTGATACGTTAAGTGCCCTAAACATTTTTTGACGTGCAGAATACAGTAGTTGTTGATGTGACAAGCTAAATTTGTACTTGAGGAAACAAAGTTACCAAATACTTTACTGCTATGTTTCCATACATGTGGAAATAAAAAGCACTGACAGATAGCACAGCTAAGTTTGCTATTGAAATATCCAGTCAGATTGTTCTTTGTAAAGATATCAGTATGGTCATAAAGCAGAATATTGTCAACAAATGGCAGCGATTTTGGGACATTCATTTTTATATCAAGTTGAGAAACTTATAATCTAGTGTGGAAGAAGACTGGGAGACTTAGAAGCCAAAGAGAGGACGTTCTTTGTCTCAGCTCAGAATTGGCCACTCTCATGTTATATATAATTATTTTCGAAACCTGACAGCGAGTCCATTTGTATAAAGTGTAATTCCCCTTTGTCGGTGTGTTACATTTTAGTAGAGTGTGTATATTTTAAGGTCTTTCATTTAAAATATTTTAATTTCTCTGACTTACCTCTTGACAATTTAATCGGAACAGTGTTTAGTTTTAATCTATTTCAGTATTTGAGAGAGATTGGTTTTTATTATTTAAGTTGAATCTTTTTAAATAGATTAATTTTTAATATCTTTACTATATGTATTGATATTTTATTTAGTTTTATACTTGCATTCATCATGTGGGTTTGATGCAGCCTATTTCATTTTTTTTAGGGATTATGTGTTTGGTACATCATAATCTCTTAGATTATGCATCAAGAATCTCACCAACCAATTAGCCTGATTATTAGCTGCCCAGTGGCTATAGTGCTTAGTGACAATGACTGCCATAACAATGGGACTGGGTTCATATCCCAGAGAAGCTATATATTTTTGTAAGTGTTATAGCATCTGTGCAGCAAGGGAACACTCAAAACACAGTGAGCTGAAAGCTTGAGAGCTTGTGGTAGGAAAAGAGGGGCAGGAGACCCTTGGACCGTCCTTTGGGAAGGGGGCTTTCTCTCAAAATTATACCTCTATGACCAGTGGAGAAATCCTGTGACCCATCCACTTTTACGTTCTTCTTACTAAATTTTATCTGATGGCATAAAATCTGGAAATATCTGAAATGAAATTCAATGATTCTGGATCTTTGTATTGTACATGTATAATGATATTCTGTTTACATACTTGTTCAAGATAATGGAGAAATATCTGTTCTAAAAGTTTGCTATGTAATGTAATAATAGTTTTTTGAAAGAATTTTTGCTAATTTACTATTTTTAGGACAAACTGCAAAAAACACAGGTGGACAGCCAGACACAAATAGCAAATCTTGAAGAAGAATTGTCACGTGTAAAAGCAACTCGAGATGATTTGCAGAAATATATTAGGGAATTAGAGCAATTAAATGATGATCTAGAGAGAGCGAAAAGGTAACTTCTGTAACTCAAATTTTAAAATGTAGAGCCTAATATTAATTTTATCTTTTTAACTTATTGGGAAATTTTGCATTTTATATATTTTAAATCCTCTTCTTCCTTGGAATCTTTTTTTTTTTCATTATATTATTTTTTATAGGGCAGCAGTATCGTCACTGGAAGATTTTGAAGCTAGATTGAATCAGGTATTTATAACATACTACAGAATGAAATCATTCTTTGTATGGTAGGAGAAAATATTTTTTTTAGTGTGATTACTGTGATTATTATTATTCCTACATTAAAATTAAAGTGTTTTGGTGAACACATTTTGTTTAAATTTTTGTCTTTCCAGGCAATTGAAAGGAATGCCTTTTTAGAAAGTGAGCTTGATGAGAAAGAAGTTTTGAAAGTAACAGTACAAAGGCTTAAAGATGAGTCCAGAGGTATAGAACTACATTTATATTACAGAAAGTTTATGAGATAGTAGCTGATATAGAGTTGTAAAGTTTTTTTATGTCCATAAATGTTGCTGATTTTAAAAATCAGGAAAATTTAGTACACTAGTTAAAAAAAAAAAAAAAAAGCTAATCAGAAGGCCTCTTAAAATTACATAGAATTCTCAGATACAGAATACATAAATGAAAAAATTATCTTCTAGAAAATGTGAAGTGAAATTTAGATAGTAAATGCATATTATTGTTCAAACTGGAATTGGTAATTAAAATGCTTAATTAACAAAAAATAAATTTAAACAATTAAAACAAGAGAATGATTGTTGGTACTATAGAAAGATCCTAACTTTTTAGGAGGAATTGAAATCTTTCCATACAACCACCACCAATTCATGAGGATCGCATTTTGTCATTTTGCATTTCTTCTAACTTTATGATTTATTTTTAGAGGATACTTGAAAGAGATGAATTTCTAATGCCTACTTTATAAGATTTATGTTAATTTTTCTAACGGTTCTTTAATTAAAAGTTACTTTCCTGTCTTCCTGAATTTCAGCTTACGCTTTCCAGCCAGAACGTATTTCAGAATCGTGTTTGAATGCAAATGAGGAGAAGTATTTAACTGTGAAATTCTGCTGACTTCGTGAGCCAGGGATTCTGACTAGCGCGTGCTCGGCTTGTTAGGCTACTTTCTCTCTTAAGCTATTATTACACTCAGCTGTATTTTAGGCCCTTGATAGCTTCACATTATTTAGCATTAAGGGGCCAACTCTGTTAGAATCTTGATAGTTTTGGCTATATCTTATTAGTTAGATTAGTTGTTTTAGTTCTTAGCTTCCTGAATTCAAACCCAAGTGGAGGCTTTATTGTAACTCCAAGAAAGGAGTCATCTGTTAAACTTTATTTGGAATAGTAAAAGGTAATTTAACCCTTCTCAGGTTTTGTTCTCTGTCTGATGAACTCAAGCGATTATTTGTCTATCAGTTCTTAAGATTCCTCACTTCAAATGTAACTTTGAAGTACACAGGTTGGAATCTTGCAACTTTAACAGGATTTAAGTAAATATAGCAGCAGTCAGGTGAGGCTCACCATTAGAGGCTGATAAAGCTGCTTTGTAGCCAGTAGAGAGTTTTATGTTTATTAACCCATTATCTTATTATTATTTAGTTTCATTTCTACATTTGTCAGCTTCCACGAGTATCCAAATTAGTTCATGTGTTCTTAAGACAGGCACTTGGCAGCTGCAGCTTATGTCTTGCTATTACTTCTGTTAACATCTGTGTTACTTATTTCATGAGAGTTAGTGAGAGTTTGAAGGCCTGAATGAAAGCTTTTATGCTATTTTTGTCTTGTAATTAATTACTTTATTTGAACTATTGTTTCTGATATTCCCATAAGCTATGTAGATATATTTTTTACACACGGGCTGTGTTGCATTAATCTGAAAATTAAAAATGGAGATTTCTTTTAAGTTGGAATTACCGTATTTTCTGCCATATAACTTACATCTATAATTTCAAGCTACATTTTAAAAATTTTTATGTATATTTGCCATATAACGTGCAAGCAATTCTTCATGAAGAAACTTAAAAAATGCATGTGCAATGCTCTTATTTTTTAAGGTAACTTATTCGAACATTTGTTCCAGCCTTTAGAACACTGGTAAGTTCTACTGAAAAGCAATAAGGGGAACAATATGTGTGTGGGTTAAATGCTGGAGGGAGTAAATATGCCGGCAAACAGAATGGATTGTATTCAATGCAAATGTCCGAAAGAATGCTATTGTAGAGCATTTCCAACCTGAATGGATTCATGGAATTAGTTAGATGTTCCCCCTACCTAGAGAGAAAACATCATTTAAAGCCAAGATTTTTAGTCATTAAAAGCCAAGATTTTCAAGTGAAAATCAAGGGCTTTACTAAATCGCATTTGCTTTAGTTGAAATACAGTTGATATAGTGCTTCTTTTAGTAGTAAATATGGCTCTCACAAAAAGAAACAAACATGGTGCTGGATTCAAATGCAAAGCCATTCATTTTGCGAAAGTAAACGGAAATCATCCTGCAGCAAGGATGTTTGGTGAAAGATGGAACTAATAATGATTATTTATTTATGGATCAAAATAGCAATGATAATGAAGATGAAACAAAATTTGATGATATGCCTGAAGATATAAGGGAAGACAAACTCTTCATGTTTTCCGATAATGGAAATGTTTAATTTCATAAAGTACATCATTTCTTTTAAATAAGCAGCATTTTGTTAATGTAAAAAATCCAGTTTTTTTCCTTATTTTTAAGCTATCATTTTTATATCCAGCATATAACGTGCATCCATGGATTTCGGTCCTGTTTTTTTTTTTTTTTTTTTTTTTTGGGTATTAAAAGTGTGTGTTGTACAGCGGAATATATAATATTTTACTTACACACTTTAAAATGCAATGACTAACTCATCAATCAAGTCATCTGACTGTCTTTATGTCCAGCAGTTAACAGCTAGAGTAGGGTGAATCCGTACACCTGTGTGACAAGAATTTATGAATTAAACAATAGTGTAGATATATACCATGTTACAAACTGCAGAGCTAAACTTTCATTTTACATCTGTATTTGTGAAATAGTCTCATTACAGTAGTCAAAGATATCTTTTTCTGTACCATTAAATTTGATTTGCCTACTGTTAAAAAAACCAGATCAAAATTCAGCAACTGTTGCTGAAGAGTTCTACTGGTATACAGATGGAATATGTGACTAAAGCAGCATTTATACAGAGATTGTTTGTACATTTTTAGAATGAATTTGTAAAAAGCAGATGTTTTGAAATAAAAATTTCTGGCTAAGCTTGTTATTTGAAATGACAAAAAACATCAGCTACTTTTAAATCTATTCTTCTTTCAAGACATCGCATGTAAACAATATATGGATTGAAAGATATATTTTTGTGCTTTCCAGAGAGATATATACGTATTCCATAAATCAAAAATGTTGTGAAATACACAGTATTAAAAATTCTAAGTGCAAAATACACAACATTATTAATCAAAAAGAGAAAAAACTCTCAATCATTACTTCTACATGGAAAGAAGATACCAGACAAATACCAAAAAAAAGGTACGTACTGTTTCCAATGCTTCTAAAGTTAAATACTTAGTAACAGGAGGAAATTGACCGATGTAGAAATCAGTTACAGGTTCTTTAAATACATATGTAGCAACAATAAATAAAATAATAAACCAAGATTTGCAGCTTAAGAAAATTAAAAGCCATAATGTTCACCAACTTTTGTCAAGGCATGTAGCTCAATGCAGAACAGTTTATAGAACCCTGTAGGAAGACTGTTTACCTCAAAAAAAAAAAAAAAAAAAGGAAATACGTTGTGACTCTTAATAAAGCATGGATTTGCCTAAATGACTGCAGCAAAAATAAGTCTTATTTATTGCTAAAATATATATATATATATATTGTTTCATCAATGGAAAGAAAGATTCAATAAGGGGTTTATGATTGTTGCAGTGTTCTTCTAGAGTAGGAAATTAAAAAGAAGAGTAGAAAAAAATATTAAAATCAACTCAGTGTACCACCAAGAGAAAGTTTTACATCTGATATTTACAGAAGAAATTGCATTTCTTTATCCTGTGGGTAATCCGTCATCAGGTAGCACTTCTGACTCCATATAATGAATAGTGCATTTTGAGGTTGTGTAATACTTACTGCATTTTTTTAACTCAAAACATATTTATTACAATTATGAGAAGCTCTTTACATATATATAATTCATGGATAGCATAGAACAGTTATTGTAGTGAAGTCCTCGTGACATGAGGAACCTGCTAACAAGGGTGTCTCTAGTTCAGAGTTCCAGAACATTTTGGCATGTTGTTCCAACGGGAAAAGTCTGCAGACAGAATTAGCCATGCCTCCTTAATTTTTCATTAGTATTTTACATCCTCTGATTCGTTATATCGGGAACGATATCAGAGGAAAAACAAGATCATTGGTTCGTCAGCCTTCCTGAAATCGAGAGGCTTTGACAACAGACACAGTGCAGAGTGCTAAAATCTCTTTACACTGGTCATGAAGTTATGTCTCTTGTACTATCAACTGGGCCGAATTATTGTGTCTGCGATGTCAGATCATATGGTATGACACATTGTAAAAGCTTGAAAATAGTGACTTGCGGGGACCGCACAGATGATTTTCTGATCTCTGTGTGGTCCACCGCAATCCCAAAAACTTCCAAAGAGTGAAACTTCATAAAGACAAAGCGACAGGTCATACTTTGAGAAGTACCATTGCATGGAAGAGGAATGGAAATCAGTACCACTGGAAATTTTATGAAAAGCTCTTCTATCATGGAAATCCCAGTGCAGAATTATAGTCCAGAAAAAAATGCTACCAAGCCACAAAATTTTTTTAAATTATGCATTGCATTATAAAAATAAATAAAACAAGTGCAAAATCATTTTAAAAATAAGTAAGCACCCTCTGTATATCACAGCATGCATTGCTAGATTTATTAGAATCAGTATGATTTTTGTTAAAGATTGTTCTGTCCCTAAACTCACTGAAGCAATTTTTATAAAGAGGTGTCTGTTTAAGGAACATTAAGTTCTTAATTCAATCATAAGACTTTGACTCAATTGGGATCCAATTTGAATCAGATATAATTTTATAAAGGTTCAGCAGTCAATGGGTAAGGAGAGCATCGTAATCATTGGTTTGCATAGTTGCATAATACCTGAAACTAGATCAACTCATGGTCCCTACGAAATTTCATGCATATTTTTGATTTCTCATTGTTGTCAATAAACAACAGTGCATTGAATTTCAATTTTAACTTTTTGAAATTGTTTCCTGTGCACTTTCATGTATGCTTTTTTTTCCCCCTTAAATATTATCAGTACTAAGAAATCACATGGAAATTTTGCACATTCTTATTTCTTACATATTACTATTATCATTATTAATTTTGTGATAACCATACAAAAGCATGTTGCTATGGATAAATCTAATTTTTTCCTATAATGGTATCTTTGTTTGTAAAATGATCTTCCTCTTTATTGATCTATATTTTTGTAAAATGATCTTTCTCTTATTGTTTCAGATTTGAGACAAGAAATGATAATACATCAAACCAGCAGGCCTGTGTATGAGAAATCAGTGAGTATTGATTCAAAATCAGAAAGTGTCAAGACAGTTACTGATTCTAACAAGATTAAGTCAGAATTAGAAAATTCATCAGAAGTGTCAATAAAACGTATGTATTATTTTTTTAATGCTGCATTGGTTTAATGCTTTATATGTAGAGAATAGCTGAAAATTCAGTTGGCATAAACTATAATAATTTCTGCTACAATTTCAAGTATTTTTTTGACAGTAGAATTTCTCTCTCACTTTCTCTGATGAAGAGAAGCGATTTGGGTGAAATTTTCAATTTTTCCACTCGCTTCAGAAGTTTACAACTACCTATAGAATTAGCAAATGAAAATCATTTGATTTGGTTATGAAATTAAAAAATTCCTGAATGTTTGTGATGTATTTGGTGAAATATGTGTTTAGTTTTTTTTTCCCTAAAACTTTTGCATTAAAAATATTCATTATTTTATAATATGGAGATGAGCTTAAAACAACTTTAGATGAGATTGTTTCTTATATAAATAATAATACGTAATTTATAAAAATTTATACTTTTATGATATATTTTATAACTAATCAAAAGGTACAATATAAAATAATATAAAAAATTCAGTATCAGTGCTTTTGAAACTTTATATCATAATGTTGTCCAAGTGTAATTCCACCTCTGCATAGTAAAGGTGTTTGGTTTTTTAGTAATTTACTTATTTAATGTGTTTTGAACAGCTTTTTGTATGGTGATTTTACATTCATGTGGTAGTTGTTTCAAATAATCATTGTTAATCTTTAAGTTTTCATTCGTTAACTAGGGGGGAAGAATAAAGTACTCCTACCTGAACTAAAATAATAATAATTCTAATAGATATAAGTTTAACATGGTTACAAACCAAAGGAAAAACTGTTAAAATTTTGTTATCAAAATAGATCATCCTGTGTTTAAAATAGGTTTTGTATAATAATAAAATTAAAAACTTCAGCCAGGGAGAAGTTGTATTTCATTGAGATACAGTTGTATCTGCTTTAAAATGCCTTAATGAATGGTCATAATTTTTGTCTCATTTTGCAGCTATTATTATTTTCTCTAAGAATAATTTGAGAAACGGAAATGGCATAAAACTGAAAATCAAGAAAATGTCCTAAAAAATAATTATAGGGCCCTTTGCTTCCTGTTCCATAGCTGCATGTTAAATTCAAAACTGAAAAGGGTTGTATATGTATATATATATATATATATTTTAACAAACATGTATGTACGTAAAAAAGCAAATTTAAAGTTAAAATAATGTGCAAACATATAAAAGATTTAATTTTCGAACTAATCTAAAATATCATTTAAATTCAGATAGCATAAGTAATCAAGTACAAAAACAAAACATGAAAATCATTGGAAACATGAATGAAACATGAAAGCCAAAACATGAAATTTCTAAAATGCATTGGTTTCTAAATTAATTTTTCTGGAAAATTTAATTTTTAAAAAAATTTCATTTAATACTAAACTTTACATTGCTTTAACATTAATTAATAACAAACTTTACATTCATTATTGGTATTTTCCTTTAGACTTTTAATTTTTAATTGCTAATTACTCAAGGTACCACTTAGTTGGTATTTATTTTTGGACATTCTTCACAATGTATTTACTTTTGGTTTTGACTTTTACCCTTGCTTGCATGAATGACGAAACACGAATTGAATGATTTAAGAGTTAGGTTTGGAGGCAACTTTCCCTTGATAAGCCTGTCTCCTGCCTGCTCAACAGTCATTCATTTATGCATTAAAAAAAAAAAAAAAAAAATTTTTAGATTAATTTTAATTTGCTGAATTGGTGAATTTATTTTCATGTTTTGGTTTTGCACTTGATTTACTTATGCTATCTGAATTTAAATGATATTGTAGATTAGTTCGAAAATTAAATCTTTTATATGTTTGCACATTATTTTAACTTTAAATTTCATTCCTTGCAGCAATGGCACAAAGAATTAATTAAATTTGTATTTATTCAATGTATTTATTCAATATATATATAATATATATATATATATGTAACTAAATGAAAATCATATTGAAAACTAAGCATAAATTATTTATTCAAAAATGGATTTAAATTTAAATACACATATTATGAATAATTTTTTAACCCATTCGAGATGGCACGGCTTTGCCTAAGATGTCCTCTCAGGGTGGATGGGAGTTGAAAGAAATTATGGAACAATGGTTTTGTATCACTAAGCGTAACTTTAGCGGGGAATCACAATAAAATTGAAATCCTAATATCATAAATTTTTGCTACTGTTTTAGATTATTACTTAAGCTATCATATATGTTAAAATTAGCTTGTAGTAATATTTTTCCTTTACTGTACATGAAAATGTATAAAAAATAATTGCTTACTTTGAAAAATAATTTTTGGAAGCACTATTCAAATTAGTCTGATAAAATACATTACTAAACTTTAAATTAATGAAAAAATACAAAAAAAGTCTGTTTACAGGAAGAGGTAACAAAATCTTTCATGGGATGTGGAAGACAGGCACTCAATGAGATCAGTTATCCATCCATATCAGAATCCAAAATATCCATATCAGAATTACTCAAAATATCGCTTTTCTAACTCATCAGAAAATGAATCTTCACACTCATCCATGTCAGTAATCGGCTTATTTACCAAACAAGTAGATCCTTCTGATAAATAATGCTGACTCACCATAATAAACTGAAGTCAAGTCTTTCCAAAATAAAAAAGGAAGTGAGCGAAATATTAGCGATAAAAGCAATGCAAAGCGTAGCAGAACCCCACATAGTGACCTTAAAAGACCCTACATAGTAGCAAGAAAAAGAATAGAAAAATTATTTGAAGGGATATCAGAAACGCAACTTTTTATATCACATGTGAGTAAAAGACCCAAACTCTGTTTACATTATGCGTTCCCCATTCCCCTCACAACAGTTGACACCAAAGGCAGAATGTGATCAAATTGAAGGTCAGGATCCTAAAACTGTATTCAATTCAAAAGTAATGGACACAGAATGCCATCTAGTGGTCTTTAAAAAGTGTTTCAGCTTAAAATACATGTATGCATCACCTGTCCCTTATGCTCATTCTCCGATGCACAGGTGGGACATCCTGCAGTGCGAGATGTTTGTATGGAATGCATATAAAGGACAACCAACTGGAAAGAGTTAAGATTATTTTTAAAAGCTAGACCTTGCTGGAGCATGCATAAGCCATTGATCTCACTTAAATGTACCAAAGCTGAATAGTCTTGAGTACAGAAAAATTCCAATAATTTGCATACTTTGAGAACAGAGATTATACAGATTAGTCATATTTGTTGATCGTAGTTCATTCTTTCTGAGTTTTGATTACATTTTTCCCTTTATAATTCTTATATTAAATTTGGATTGTCTGTGCATAAATAGCTAAATTCTACTTTAGGAATCATTTAAAAAAGATTTATTGAATACAAAATTATTATGTTTTATATATATATATTTATATGAAAAAAAATGCCAATACAAAAGGAAAATGTTGGGAGAAAGAGAAATAAATGATAAAAAAAATTTTGATGAACTCTTATAAAAGTACATTAAAATATTTTATATCACTGAAAAATTATATAGCCACCTGCAAAATTATTTTATAAATAAATTTTATGCTCTTAAATAAAAGAAAAACTAAGTAAATAAATAAATACTCTGTATACCTCGGCAACACGATTTTCCCCAAAATTAAATCCTTACACGAAATCCTCCATTATGTTCTGTGCATGTGTTGTGGAATTAATAACATCACAAAGAGCTTTCAAGTGCTAAAATTGAAATTTTGATTTTATTAAGAAAAATTCTGCCTTTTATGTCACTTTTACCGTGTTTTTGATTTTTAATACCACGTATGAATTATGCGAGTAAAAAAAAAGTGTGTGTGTGAGAGAAAGGGAAAGCCACGTTTCTTGCTTTTTATTTATTTATTTATTCTCTAAGAATTTATTAGCATGCAATGTAACAAATTTTCTTTCATTGCAAAGAATATGAAAATAAACTAGGTTAAGTACTTTTCATTTGAAACTCATCATGTGAAATGGTCTGAATGCATAACTTCTTTATATGTACTAACCACATAAACTCAAAATTTATATAAAAAAGATAGTGGGTTATCAGCTCAAAATTAATGATTTATCTAAAACAAAAAATTTGCAAGTTCATGATGTCTGATTATTACAAAAGGTATGCAAAGAATGTTATGTAACTTGAATAATGGTAAAAAGTTTAATTTCGTCAATAAATATATATTATAGTGTACATTTATCAAAAAGTTTATGTGTATATTTATATTAGGAAAAATTTTTAAGTTTACTGTGCTCAATTTTCTGTTTGCATCCAAAAATAATTGCATATTATAGCCATACCTGGATTAAGTAGTTGCAGAATTCTGCTGTAAAAGTGAAATGGTGAATTTTATCTAGAAATAATTTTTTTTTAAGTATTATTTCAAAATGTTACCTAATCCTTTGCATCTTTAGGGAAGGGGATAATTTTCTTGGTGTGCATATTATTATATAATGTGAAATTTCATATTATGTTTTGTTAGTGTAGCAAATAAAATGGAATTTTAAGTGTTTGGAAAATTGTGATGCGCACCTTAATTGTAATTGTATTAGATATATATACACAGTCTAGTTATTTAGGGACATAAAAATGTATTTCACTTTTCAATTTGAGTAACTGTATTGTGCTTTATTTTAAATCAGTCTTTTCAATTTCAATACTATATAATTGGAAGGAGTTCAGGTTTTGACTGTAACATTGGCATGCCTAAAATGTAAACCAAGTAGCAATTGATGTGGGCAAACTGGTAGGCTTGGTCCAATTCTTTGGCCTCCTAAGTTTCCTCATTTAATTTCATTGGGGTGTTTTTTTGGGGTGTTTTTTTTGGGGGGGGGTATATGTTAAAAAGATTATGTATTCCGAGACAATCCATTATCCAAATGACTTTTGAAGAAAAAAATCGTCACAGCATTTGCTGCAGTCATACTAGAACATGATCCAGCATACATGAATGGGAAAAAAAAATTGCTTTGATGTTTGCAGAGCAATCATAAGAGCTCATATCAAAATTTATTAATTATATGGTAAAAAATTTGAACATTTATGTTGTGCTATAAATTTAACTCTTTGTAAAGCTGCATCAAAGTGTTCAAAGCAAATTTGCTGAAAGTATAAATTACTTCAGAGGAAGCCCAAAATAGAGTTGCATGAGAAGAGCATTCAACTGTAGTAGAGCATGGGGGTCAAAGTGTGGTGGTTAGTTGAATATGAGTTAGCTGCTTGAGGAATCTTATAGTGGTTGAGCCTGTAATGGTAATAATATATTGTTTATCCTTAAAATCTTCAATAAAATGCAGATAAACTAAATTTGTGTAATAATTTTCAATGTAAATAAGATCAAAACCTGAAACATAAGGCTAATATTATACATCAGTAGCTTCTTTACCTTAGATCCTTCACTCTGCAATATTCTCCACAATTTCCTGATTTAAACATTTATTGAAAGAGCTTGGATGATAGAGCATATATTAACATGATACTGAACTTCTACTGAATTGAAAGGATGTCTAGAAGAACAGGAAAAATATCTGATTTGGATACCACATGACTTCCATGTACCAGCCTGTTAAATTATACACGTTGTTTGCTGCATTTCTTTTAAACTTATTTCCTCGAATTTCATTGGAGCTATATTTCTAATTCAGTTCTCATTTCGTGGCAAGGCAAAAATACATAAAAGACTGAAACATTTTCATTAAAAATAGTAAAATACAAAAAAAGGTAAACTTCAAATACAGTTAAAAATAGTTTTAAAAAAATTACAATAAAAATTGGATATTATTTATGTCATGTTATAAAATGAATTGGAGCGTACATGATTTGAATGTTTATTTTTTAGGTCTAAGTAGCCATCAGCTGAATGAATCCCTCCCATTTACTCCATCTTCCCGAATATCTGCTTTAAATATTGTTGGCGATCTTCTTAGGAAAGTGGGGGTATGTATTTATGCTCCAACTGTATATAACCTCTTTGCTTACTGTGGTATCTTTGTTTTGAAGTGTTGAGTCATTTAATTCACAGTAGTTGTCTTTTGATTATTTATTGATAAACAATAACAACATGATTGAAACAAAATTATGAAATATCATACGCGGCACAGTGCTGGATCTATACGCCTTAGCACATCTTCGTTCCTGTGTGTTCAAACTGTATTTTCCCCCCGCCATGGGAAAAGCAAACACCAATTTATCCCTTTAGGGAATTTTAGTTGGAACACTTACAAAGTACAAATTATTTTCTATTGCATTCAAAAATTGAAACACAGTCAATTTTCATCCTGTTTCTGCTGTGCAGTTCAAAGGACTTTTCCTATATAATATTTGTGGGGGTGATGTATTATCATAAGCAGAAATTGCACCCACTGGTTCCAAGTATCATGTTTATTTCATTTAGGTCTATATCTGTCCAGGTCTGATCACCTACAAACGATTAGTAAATACTTCGTTTAAAAAAAAAAATACTGTTAGCCATTTTCAAATAAAGTCAATTCACAGATGATAAACTCGAAAATTATTGCATCTTTTGAATTTCCTCAAGCGATTTTATCTTTTGTAGTGTTGCCTAGGGATTCAACATTAAATGGGCAGCTAGTTTTTAATTACTTTGCAGCTCAATTCCCAGTGCATTTGGCCATTGACATGTTAAGACCTCCAAACACTTGTCACTTGCTTAATCAACTTCTCCTTTTTTAGAAATACTACTGCTATGTCTGGGTCTTTTATTTTGATATGTTATCTTTTTTTTTTTTTTTTTTCCCTTTTTTTATGGTCACAGTCAGTATTGCTATCCACTTCTAATGAAGGTGTTAAGAGTTCTTATTTTAACCTTTCTCCTTGATTTTTTCCTGTGATGCATAGCATGTTCATTGTCATCAGACCAAACATGTGAAGCCACAGATGATCGACTTTTAGACCTTGACCTAGATCTAGAACAAGACTTGTGTTTCTTTTTACTGTTACTTTTGAGCCTATAATCCTCCTCAGGATCTGATCTAGATCTTGAATGTGACCTAGAATGATGCTTTTGTTTCTTAAACTTTTGGGTGTGCTTTTGAGATTTACTATGATGATGGTTGCATGCTTCTTTTAGTGTCATCTGATAATCTTTGAATAACCATATTCTTTCAAATTCAACAGTGATATTTTTAAAAGCTGTTTCACTTCCAAATTGTTTTCGAACCTGACTCCATTCAACAATAGAATATACACTTGGAACAGCAATTTTAAGCATACTTCGAAATGCATTCTCAAATCGCTTTTGCTCTCATGCTTCTTCTTGTAATCTTTCTTTTTCCTGAGCTTCTGTTTTTCCAGCAAACTATTATACATACGTTCAACATTTCCTGCATCTAAATTTGATCTTTTATCTTGACTTTCAACTGTAGCAAATCCTCAAATGATGTATTAACTTTATAAGGTATTTTCTCCCTTCTTTCTTATGCCGTCATGGTGTAGTGCAAAGCATATCCGATGCGTATTTGTGACGTCCAGGGCTGGAGTCCCGACAAGGGCATTGTACATTTTTCATGTCACCTGCTGCTTCAAAATAATCTTATTGGCTCTACAACTTAACAATAAAACCTTTCTCCTTCAACAGTTCTTTTATAGTTTTCTTCTCATCAGGAAAACATGCTTTCAGTTCTTTAAGATAAAATTTTTAAAAAGATCTGGTTGGGAAAGCATATTGCTAGATCTAATTGCAGCACTTAGCGTGAAATAAAGCCCAATCTACAGTGACACTGAAGTTAGCTTACCTGTGTCATAAAGTTCATTTAGAAGGTGCATGATAACTTCACGATGTTTTCACTGCTGCCTCTGTATTTTCTCTTTTCTTTTCTTCTTCCTCTTTCTGTTTTAATTGTCATATATATATATTCTTCAAAGGCTGCTAAAGCATCATCTTTATCCATATTTAATAATTCTGCATCCTCTGAAAACTGAGGCTTGTCAAGCATTAACTGCTGTGCTTCTTGCCAAGTTGTTCTATATGTGACAGAAGTTGTGCAATCTAAAACGGTACTTAAAATTTCATGTTCTTTTTCCTCAGACCTTTTGCTTCTTCCTTTTCTCATTTTGCAAAAAACAGAAAAGGATCATCATCATTATAGTTCTTTTCTTTCATGGTCTAGTACAGCTTTCCAGACCTCAAGATCTCCAAGTTGAGAAAAGATATTTGGTGTTAAAAATAGAGGAACAGATGATTTATATACTGCTGCAACAATGATTTTTAGATTCACTCAGGCTAAAAATTGAGCTTATCCTACTCTAACGATATTTGCCTTCTTTTTTTCATCAAAACATGAGCTGAGTATTATTTTATCCTCCAGCAGGGTTTTGGTTTCAATTAATGATGAATTAATAATTCGAGCTTAATGGTCTGAATTGATAAGTGCTTTTATTTTCTATCATTATATTGTAACTCCTGAATAAAATTGGCATTATTAATGCTAGGTTTTTTTTTTTTTTCCCCATTACCTTATTTGATGCAATTTTTTTTATTCAATGCAAATTTTCTCCAATGCCAGACGAATCACATTCAGTCCACTTCTGTTTTGATTTTGACAGAATGCTTCATTCTTCATAGTTTGTTTTTGAACACTTAGTGCTTTAGTTGAATTAGAATGAAACCTAGGATTATTTATTTCAGACAATGATTTCTGTGCGATGAGATATAAAAATTGCATTCTTGTCTTAGTTGGTTTAGATTAAACCATGTTTTGCCCTCATGAATATCTATGTATTCTATTGTTTGAGATCCAGAGTTTCATACAATTTATCTGCAACAATTAAATTGCTAAATTTTTTAGTCCTTTTGCATTTTCCTAACCTGACAATGGTATTTGAGTGTTGCAGTCAATCGCAGTGTAAACTGAACATGCAAATTGTAAGCTGCATGATGAGCAAGTTTAAAATTGTTAAGGATCTCTCTTGGTGTCAGCTCAAATTTAGCTAAAAACAACTCTTTAATTTTTTTTCATTATCCAACAATTACACCTTAATTGCATATGTTAAAACATTATTAGCTTTAATCTCAAGCAAATTAGTTAGTATCTCAGCTTGTAAGCCTTTCAGAACTTTTGTAGCAAATGCTTTTTCCAGTGAAATAAAAAAAAAAAAAAAAAAAAAGAGAAAAGAGAGAGAGAAGGAATGCCTCTAGCTTCTTAGGCACAGGAATAGTAAGCATTTGAATACTTTTTATTAAATTTTGAGCACTAATCTGTGTGTTTCTTCTATCACCAGACAATGTTTTTTTTAAATTTTCTAGTCCTGTCTGCTTCTCAATTTGAGCTAACTGAAGACATTCTATTTCTATCTAACATCAGCTTTCTTAATATTTTCTGGGAAGTTCACTCCAATTTTTCAGCATTTAACTTTAAATTATTTAAAAACTCATTTTGAAAACAAAGTAGCACTCACTATCTGGAAGAAAAAAGTTTTCACAGTACCTTCTTTTGAAGTTCACTAGCTGTGGGCTTCCAGAGTAGTGGGTATTATTGACGCAAAAAACAAAGTTTAAGTACTAAGCTATAGAAAGCATTTAAAAAAAATTAGCAGAAATAACAATCACAGTATAGAAACACCCTAACTTTATGTATTATGCAGACATTAATGACAAAAGTTTTAAACTTAACCAATTTATTAAAAAACATTTAACAATATATATAAAATTAAATATACAATAAACAAATTTACTACAAGAAACTTGAAGTTAAGATTATAACATAATTATTACAAAAAAAATGCACTTAGTTAATTATTCATTAATCCCCAAGGGTTTTCTTTTAAGAATATTACACTATTAATGGTTCAACAAACACATTACCTGTTCCATAAATACTGGCATTCAAAAACTCGCGACAAACATATCACAGTAAAAAAAAAAAAAAAAAAAAATTGCATGATTAACTTGAATTTCACTTGATTAAATAAATCCATGTTTTTAACTAAGAAGACACTTGGAAAATTAAACCTTGAAAACACTTGTGTTTAAAGATGCCGCCCACCGCAGTTGATCACAGGAAACAACAAATTGAACACTTCGTCACTTTGCTGAATCTTAAAAAAAAAAAAAAAAAAAAAAAAAGGCACAAAGCCACGACACTAAAGAGCCACTCAACACTGGACGCCACACATCACAAGAACGTTCCCGAATGCGAACTGGAACAACACCCAAAGAAAAAGGGGGAAATAATAATCCTTAAGATACAGCGATGCAAGATGTTTATACATGTAGTAGATATATGACGTCATAACACAGAAGTCGGTCAACTATCAGTACGACCCTGCTTTCCAGATGATGTAATTTCGAGTTTCACTTTTGCATATTAATAAGGCTGGAACAGTCCATTCGTGACATAAACAGTGGCGGCGAAAAGAAAAGAAAAAAAAAATTATTTCAAGGAGGAGAGATGATGCAAATAGGGTTAGAATAAGCCATATTTGTAACAATTTTCATAAACAGACATCACACCAACTGGTTACAAGTATCGGGTTTATTTCATTCAGGTCTAAAACTGTCCAGTGATGTTGACTGATCACGTATGCACAATCAGTAAACACCTTGTTTTTTAAAAAAAAGTACCATCAGCCGCCTTCTTCTTCGTTAGTTCACAGACGATAAATTCCTATTACATTTTTAGAATTCTGTCACGCAGTTTTATCTTTTGTAGTGTTGCCGAGGAATTTAAATTTACAGCTAGCTTTTAATTCTTTTGTGGCTCGATTCATGTGTATATGTAGGTAGCATGGAGCTAGAATGTTGCATTATGTATTGTGTAAATGCATGAGTCTGGCATATATATAGGTTGCTATTTATATTTCTGGCCTTGGCAACAGTAAGTGTTGCTACGCAGCCACAGATGATTCCAATTGAAAATTCGATATTTTTAACCATACCTTTTTCAGAACATTTTGCCATTTTAGCGTGGTTTGTGTTGTTTACAGTGTCGATTGGTGCAAGGAAATGTTGGAAAAACACTTTCAAGGTGCATAAAAGTCTGTGTATAACATCTACACAGGTGACGTCATGGATCTCTACATATGAACCCAAAGCAAACCAGCGTCTCCTATGACGAGCTAAATGCAAAAGTTGTGGAAGAAGCACATCAAAGCAAATGGTTGCCTGTTTCTTTGGCATTACCAGTAACGTGGTGACAATGTCATTGGAGCAATGCAGAATGGCCAACACGACTGGTACACGACCATTTGTTTGACAGAAGTCATTGTAGAAATTCAAAAATAGCAGAGGAGGCAAATCATTCTTCATCATGATAATGTAAGTTCTTGCACAGTTACTCAAAGGAATTTTTGATGAGCCAAAACATCAAATCGATAGGCTATTATTCATTGTACAGCCCTGATTTGGCACCCAATGACTTCCCCCCCCCACACACACACACATCAAAAATAAATTATGTGGTCAGCAATTTGCGACACCCGAAGAAGCGGTTGCTGCAGTCAAAACGCATGTTTTGGAGTTACCTTGATCGGAGTGGAAAGAAGGCTTCAAAAATTGGTTCAAATGCATGCAGAAGTGTATTGATCTTCATTGAGAGTATTCTGAAAAACATTAAAACCTATTTTAATCATAAACATTTGTTTTTCATTACTAGGCCAGAATGAAAGTGAGTGATAAGGGTTACAGAGCATAAAAAAAAAGCTGTACAAATACACTCTCTTTCAAACAATAAATTGAATAATGAAAATAGTAAGTCACTAATGAATTGCATGAATAAGTTTATCTACAGTCTGTAGAAGATTGGAATAGAGCTAGTATTGTGAATAAACCCATTCATGAAAAAAGCAGCCTTAACCCCCTTCACAATGGGTGTATCATATATGCATCAGCAGTTAACCCTCTTACACGACGGCATTTCACTTTGCGCAACTCACCTTGAAGAAAGTGTGTTGTTACCCTAGTACAATCTTGCAAGACAGAATATTTTGCATTGCTAAGCCTAAATTAAAAAAAAAAAAAAAAAAAAAAAATTAACCCCTTAACTGATGCAGGCGTATATATACACCTTGCTCAGCCGATGCGTTAACTGCCTCGGGCATATACATATACGCCCTTCCAAACTACTATCATTTGCTTTGCGCTACTACCCATCAAATTATTGGCAAGGCTTTGAATGCAACGACACAATGACCTTGACAAAGTATGCAAAGGAGGATACTATTTCAGAGAAGTGTGGGGAGAAATTGGAAAGAGGGATGTGTCTAAAGCAGTGAAATATGATGACTGCGTGGTGTTGTTTGATTAAAACGCATTTTTTTTTTTTTTTTTTTTTTTTTTTTTTATTCTGTGGCCTCCGTTTTCATTTACTTTTTGTTGTAGGTTCCAGGAATAAAGAAAGATATAATGGATGTTTCAAACCCATTTATCTTTTTTGAATTATTTTTGATGAAGTGCTTGTGCTTCATATTGTTACTGAAACTAACCGTTTTGTAGACAAGTATATGAACCAACACCTTGCAAATGAAAAATAAAGAACAAAATCGGGGCATTCAACCAGTTCAGAAGAAATATATTTTTTTTAGGCATACTGATTTCACAAGGTATAACATTAAAACCTGATATTACACTTTACTAGTCTAAAAATGAATTGATCGAAACTCCATTTTAGGGATCTTTTTTATTATAAAAACATCATTTTTATTATACTTTTACTCAAAACATTAAGTTTTGTGCATTCATTTTTTCCTTTTATTTATTTTGTGAAAGTAAACAGTTCTTAGAAAGTAAAACTTGCACTTATTTTCCCCCTAATACATCGCGTAACTACGCGTGCCTGTGTGAAAAACCATGGCACTGGGAAATGAATCTTGTACATTTTCCACGGCAGTTAAGGGGTTAAAAATATTTTTTTTAACAATTTTGATTTTTTTGTAATGGTATCTAAGAGTAGTATAATCATAAATACAGATTATCAAGAGATTCTGGAAAAAAAAATAATTAAAATCTAAATGCAAACTAAAATATTTCACTCGTCATGATGAAATGTTGTAAAACATTTACTTAAATGTATATCTAAATGTGTGTTAAAAATAATAAAATATATGGTCATATATCATAGCATAAGTGATTCAGGAAGGAGACAGTGTGAGATAATCTAGTCGCTATTGTTTCATTAGTTATGAAACACATTTTCAGGTTGAACTTTTTAATTTGATCCTAGTTCAATTCATTTTTAATTAGATTCTAATAATTAATCCTAGGGTCCCCTCATTTTAGGCACATCTAGAGGAGTATGTTCATTTTGGATGAAGAGGGATTTACACTCATCTTTTATTCATAAAAATTATTAGTTTCTTCAGCTATTATGTTCATTAGATTATCAAAAAAAAATGGTGGAAAAATTAGTTTCATTCACATAACTTTGAATTAAGTTTACTTCTGCAATTCCTGTAAATTCATAAGGCCTAAATTACTTAACAGTTCGCGTTCATGATGGAGTAGGCATTGTTCTGCTGGATTATGAGGTGAAAGCAAAACAAACTTCCAATTCTGTGTCGAGAAAATTTCTTTATTAAAATCGCAGTTCTCACTTAAATCTAGAGTTTTCAGTATCAAAATAGTCACTCGTGGGCTTTTACAATTCAAATATACTCTTCTTCCATTAAAAACTTCTTTCTTTTAGGTATCGCACTATTAGTTTAACTCACTTACCTGGTGCAAAATGCTTATGTCTGCTGTCTAAAGATGAAAACTAAATACAAACCAATTTCCTAAAACTGCAGCTCCACTCCCAAACTTTTCATAGGAAAGAAGTTTATGCAGTTCCGCTCCCAGTCTTCCCATAGGAAAGAAACAAAAAAAAACAAAACAAAACAAAAAAAAAGTGTGAAGCATTGAAAACTTCAGTGTTTATATCATGCAAAACCAACTGCATGTCAGCAAGGTTTTGTTTACCTTAAATTATATTATCTGCCGTCACGTAAACGAATCACCAGAATCGGAAAGTACTTCACAGACAGAAGGTCAACAATGTTTATGTTCTAAAGTTAACTGACACGAGGAGTTCCATGTAGTGATTTAAAAAAATTCTAAAAGAATGTGCATTTGTGAGAGTGCATATATGCCACGCCCATCCGGAAGATCAACACAAGCAGTGATGTACCAGTGCAACACGTGACTACTAGTGACATTTGGAACTGATGCATATATGACACACCCATCTGCAGAGGGTTTTTTTATTTCAGCAACATGCTGTTGCGAAGAGTTTTCAGCAACATACTGTCACGAAGACCAATGAATGTTCATTGGTCACGAAGACCAATGAAATCACAGTTAGACCATATTGCAATCTAATAATCCAATGAAATCACAATTAGACCATATTGCATATTCACAAATAATTTCCTTTCAGTTTCTTAAATATCTGAATAACCATTCTTGTAGGTATAGTGATCTAATTCTCAAGAAAAAGTACAGAAACCTGAATCTCAAGGAAACCTAAATCAGTAGGGGAAAAGAGCAAGGGGATATAGCATACAATTTTATAGTTACTTATTTCAAAATTTAAATCGTGTGTGCTAATTAATTTCCAAGATATATTTGTAGTACTCATTCTTATCTCTCAAAATAAAACTCGGTAATATTTTTAGATTATTTATAATTTTATTTTTTACTGCATATTACCTTAATCGTAAAAGAGATATTTTATGGACTAATCATTTAATATCTATTTTAATTATATGTGAAGAAAACAAATTAAAATAAAATAATATTAAATTTCAGATTTACATTCGTTTTGTAGAAAAACTTTTGTACTTTAAATTGTACATTTTCAGCTCTATGAGTCTTCCTCAAAAGTGTTCAGGTTTTAATACCTCTATGTTTTATGGTTAATCTTTCTGAACAAGATATGTTTATTATATGCATATTTCTTTATGGTTGTTTAAGTGACTTTAATTTAATTTAATAGCACTTCCTCATTCTGTTTTGGAGGCTCATAACAATAACTTTGATCTTTTCAAATTTTTCTTAAAAAAGACAAAGTTGAATATATGCTTAAAGTAAAATCAAATATTTAACATTAAGGAAAACATTTTATTTCTCTGTTAATTTGTTATTCATGCATGTTTTAGCTTTAAATTTAATTGCTAATTTTTACTTATAGGCTTTAGAATCTAAGTTAGCATCTTGCAGAGCTTATGTTAAAGAAAACTCTCCAAAGTCCGAAAAGAAGGAGAATGGAAGTCACTCTCCAGTGTAAGAAGACTTATTTCTTTACATCCAATAGTTTGGAGTAAAATCTCCTTTCCATATTTATTTCAAAGATGTGTTAGTTGATTTCTAAATTAATATGTGTTAGCTGTTTTCACATTTTTAAATAAAATTCAGTTCTAAAAAATTTTGAGAGATAAAAGCATTAAGATATTAAAGTTTACATATTGTAATAATATAACTGCACTAGAATATCATTTATTAAAGCCAGGAGAAAATACTATAGCAATAAAAGTATTTGTCTGATTTGATAGAAATTATTAAATAGAATTGGATCAATAAAAAATATTAAATCTTATTTCTTTATAGAAGCTTAAGGAAAATAGTATTAAAAGGTAGAGCTTGAGTTTATAATGTATATTGCATAATGCAGAGAAAAGGGACCTAAAAAATGTGTGTCTAGGTTCTTGAGAAAACATCCATATGAATCTTGACATAATTTATTTAATGCTGAAGGGATTTTTTATATGAATTTTTCTTACATATCTTGCTTACTGATTGAATTAATCACAGCAGAATTTCAATCACTGCATCATCTGACAGATCAAATAATCTGCCAAATAAAGTTTTCATTAGCTTCTGTGAACCACAGATGTTGAATGAAATTCCTTCTGATTACAAAGGAAAACTGCCATAGTAATTTTTTTAAAGAGTGTATATATGACTGCTTTAGTCATTAATTTTTATCATCATGATACTAACATTTTCATTCTTACTAAAACCTTTTCAACCACATATGGATACTATACTTTATAATGCATGTTTGTATACTATATTTTATAGTCCATATATATTTTTATAACAATAAATGTTTAATCATGCTATAAAAAGTTAGCTTCAGTAACAAAAGTGAAATTTGTTTAATAAGAAATTTAGTTCTAAAATATTGTTGGGGATTCAATATTTTTAAAGACCAGTTTTGGATTTAAAGAGCTGTAATTCCTTTCCTTGGACATATATGACCTAAGCATGCTTGGCATTAAATAAGGCTAAGGAACAATTTGTCTAGTATAGAGATTTAAAATTTGATATTTAATGTCGAGCTGGAAGTGGCAGAACACGTTGATTTATTTTTTTATTCTTTGCTATCTTAATAGCTGACTAAATGGCTACAATACAAAAAAAATTCATCTCTATAGCTTGTTATACAGAATACTCTTCAGTTTCACATGAACGATTTAGCTCAAAAACAGTGTTGAAATTGCATATTTGCTATGAGACATTTTCTGCAGTATACATGGAAAGTTAAGTAATTTTCGAATTTTGAAGGAATTCAGCATGAAGATTATGTGCTAGGAACATTCACTAAATATTTGCATTTTCTTATTTTTCTGAGCATAATCAAATGTGGAAACAAGATCTCTAACATTTGTACAGATCCCCTCCTCCCAAATGGAACTGCTATCCCTTTGTTTTACCATATCATTTAATTATTTAAAGATAGCATTTCACATGCAAAAGGCATAAGGCCACTTTCCAACCTGGTATCTTACTACTTTAGAGAAAGATAAAATGTGCAATATGTAGCATGAAGTAGCCTTTATATGACAAATTATACTTAAAAAGTAGATTTTGAGTATAATTCTCAAGTTCTTATTCAATTAATTCAGTTCCCATTCACCGCTAGGCAAAAATACATAAAAACTCAAAACATCATTAAAAATTGTAAAATGCTGAAAGAATAAAATGCCAAATACAGTTAAAAACATTTTTTTTTTCCTATTAAAATTAGAGTTTATGTGCAAAAAACAAGCAGTTCAGCCAGCAGACATGAAGACAGATTTTTCGGTGCACAAAATTGAAAGTTTACTTGTGGTTCTACTCGGCAAAAAGACACTAAATTTGGTGTGCAAACTGATTTAAGTCACTAGTCTACTAAGAATTTCAAATGTAAACTAATGGGGGCCTCATTAGGTTTAGTACCACTTAAAAAACTTTTAAATTGTTGACAATTCTACCACTGTGCGCATGCAGACTAACTTAAGGCATAAAAACCATAACTGGAACATAAAAACAATATACAGGGGTGTTTGTGCTCCGGGGATTTTGAACTTCGATTCCCGAAAATTCCGGGGATCGTCGTTCAAAAGAAAGTAGCAATAATAATGAATTATTTATTTTGATCTGGGTAATTTTGTTTGCTTTGAAAGCAGAAAATGCAAGGTCAGTGTGTGTGGTGAAAACTTTTCCTTTCTTTCTCCAAAGGCAGTGATAATGCGTGAAAAGGGGAAAAAAACTTCTTTTTTGTTCTTTACTTATTGCGAGTTATGACTCATTCCGCCGGTTCTCGGACATTCTCTTCTGGGCACTCGGGCTCACTTTTGTGAGTACGGGTGTGGCAATCCCGAGGTACCCTAGCCCTTCAGGGGATCATCTTCTTGGTGAGACGGGTGTCACGATCCTGGAGCCCCAGTGATCTATCCTCTTTTCCATCTCCTCTCCTTTTGGCTGGAACTTTTTTCCCTTCCCTTCTCCCTCGTGGTTTCTCTCTACGGAGTTTGGGGCTCGTCACGAGAGACTGGAGCAGCCCTTGTCTCTAGTTTTCAAGTGGCGAGAAAACTGCCCACGTGTTTGCCGTGCGTGGAGACCCATGTCGCTGGAAAGGAGGGTCCTGGTAGTTGAGGGGCGACGTACTGTCCCCAACACACTGCTTTGGCCTCTGCTTCATCTAAATGGGAGGCACCTTAGTCGTCCTCACGGGTGTCAATCAGCTGGTCACTAGTCCTTGTGTCAGTGGCTTGGGGTCAAGCTCTCGGGAGTACCTGCTTTCGGGAAAGCCGACTGTGGGGCTTCAGTTTGCGTATAGGTCCGGCTAGCCCTAACACAGGAATCTGTGTTCCCTTGTTGCGCTCTGTGGTGGGCGGGGCCGTCGGACCCGAATCATTTTTTTCTTTCACTATGACTTCTTCACATATATACCTAATTAAAGATTTCGAGGTCACTCCTGTCACTCAACCTAGTTCTGAAACGTCTACTACTAAACCAGTCACTCAACCTAGTTCTGAAACGTCTACTACTAAACCAGTCGCTCAACCTAGTTCTGAAACGTCTACTGCTAAACCAGTCACTAAATCTACTTCTAAAAAGTATACTGCAAAAAAATTACGTACAGATACAAATGAAAAAAATCATAACAATAGTCCCTGTTTCCTAGTCATCTCTAGTCCTTCTGGCGAAATGCATAAGATGTCTCCTTTTGTAATAAACAAATACATCCAGTCTTGTATTGGTGAGCCGAGAAATATAAAGCGTCTCCGCTCCAGAGACTTGCTGATTGATACAACCTCAGCCACCCAGTCTGCTTGTTTACTTCCGATAACTAAACTTGGGCAAGTGAATGTCACTGTAACAGCACATAAGTCACTTAACTATTGTCGTGGTGTAATCTCAGAATTCGACCTTCTGTGTGTTTCTGAAGAAGAGATTGCTTCTGAGCTATCCGACCAAAATGTCTGCGGTGCAAGGCGGATCAAGATCATTTACGAAGTTCTATAGGTGGCGTCAGTAGTCAAAAATGCGAGTGCCACCTACATATTTCATTAAAATCAATCTTTCTTTTCAAACATGCATTTCACAAGGTGTTTCCATATTTTTGTCCATCCACTGTATATCTAGTACATATAACTTCGGCCAAAACATTTTGCTTGGATAATTTCTTAGGAAAACATACCATTTTTTAATGCTTCTGAATTTAGCTAGTAAATGATAGCTTAATATAGAAATAGTGCTGTTGTGACAGGTTGTTATTGTTGTTTTTCCCACTATACTTATTTGTTTTTCATGTGTATTATTCATCTGTAAATCTTTGATTAAGTTTGTTTTTGAAATGCAAATTCAGCGAAAAATTTTCGTACATCCTGTATTATACTGATTATTATATTTATAAAATTAATAATAATTGTTTTTCTGTTTCAATAGACGAACCAAGCGCTTGCTCAGTAAAGGATCTTTATCGAGTCCTCAAGACTGCATTAGCTTGACTGCATGAAAATTTTATTTTGCCGACATATTTATATGGCGTTTATTTCTGAAAACATTCTGTATAGCTATAATTTTGTTGCCTGAACTTTTTAATATGAAAGTTTGAGTTATAAATGTATATTATTTGTGTCTTTAAAAAAAATACTGTTTCTATGTAATATTTAGTTTATATTTTAAAAAGCATGTTGTTGGTTTTTTATTTTATACATGGTGAATTCATTTAGTGAATAAATCATAATACAAACAAGTTTTTAGAAAATGTCTTTTCTCTTATTTAGATATAAATATGTCGAGGTATTCTGAAAGCTAATGATGTTTTACATCCATGATTCAAAAAGGAAGAAGAAATATTACTTATCTTACTATTTTTATTTCCGAAACCCACTAAACAGTTGTAAATGCTGTATGTTACTGTTTCATCATGTGATCTATATTATTTATTATTTTGTAAATTTAGTATTAAAATGGTTTTCGGTTTTTATAGTCTGTACATTAGTAGATGGAATTTTTAATAATTGTAGTTCTAGATATAATTTATTTGCACTACACGATAAATATGCTATCACTCACTATATATATTACATTCATTGGGAATCATCCTACAGTTGCATACCTACTTAAAAACAATAAATCGGTTAAAATGACAGAAAAAGTGCCTTTAATGTGCTGCTTTTTTTTTTTTTTTTTGTAATGCCAGCATTTGTATTAAATCAACAGTCCAATGAATGAGAATTTTATTTAACCATAAGCAATATGTCATTGGTAAGGGAATTCGTAAAGGCATGGGTACCAAATATGTTATTCATCACCTTTATTTTACATTTATTGATTTTAATAACCTGCATTTCAAGAGGAGATAGAAAAAATGGGATATTGCTAAGAAAATTAAACATGAGATTTGAAAATTATAAATTTTCAATAGCACACTTTTAAATGTCATTTGTACATAATTCATTATCTTGTACCAGTAGATACAAACAACAAAAATACAATGGTATTTATGTTTATTATAAGTTGACAGAATGCATTCATATTTATAATTGAGTTATTCTATTTTTTTTTTGAGCAAACCTTTGTTGACAGTTATGCTTTTAATTTTTATATAAATATGTTTTCCATGTTCATGCTATCCAAATGCAGATAATTGAAAAGTAACATTTTCAAATTAAATTTAAAATATGAATATATGCAAAATTTGTATAAGAAGCAAATTGTGTACTAATAAAAAATAAAAGAAATTTACACCCATTACAATTCATGAAGTTATGCACAATTATTATATTAGTTATTATGCATGCATAATGATTCTCATGTGAAGGAATATTTTTAGGGTGTGTTATGAAATGTTATGTAGAATAAATTATTGTTTATGAACAAAACTATTATAATGAAATTTAATTCTTGGAAGACATTCTGTATAAAGAAAAATGGCTATGTAATATTAATTATAAATAAAGCTTATGTTTTAAAATATTAATATTTTAATTAAGGCTTATTAATGAAACTTTTCTTCAAAAATTTTAAATTGTTATTATGTAGTATATTTCCTAGAAAATATATTCAGCTATGCACTATTTTGATTTTAGAAATCAAAATATTTAATGTAAAAATAATTTAATTTGCTGCATAAATATTAACTGTATGTTTTCATATTAATAATTTATTTTGCCTTTCTTGTGTGCTAATCTGTTTTTCATTGTATTGAAAAACTTTTTTGGTACCAAAATAAAAAAAAAAAAAAAAATGCAGTTATATATACAAAGTAAGAAGTTCTTATTTGTAGTCATGTTTCTTATTGTCTATACATTTGATTCAAAATTAATTTTACAGTTTCCGAGTAGCTTTTATGCTTTTGTCATATATGCGAAGAAACAGATATAAGGCCGTGACCTTAAGAAAATGTACGCAGCATGTTTTTTAAGTAAGGGTTATTTTGTTATATACATTAATACGTCTTGCGTGGGAAGAAACGAGTACTTGGATTCGTATGGTCCTTAAAAGTCTTTTTCTTTCTTTCTTTCTTTTTTTTTTTTTTTTTTTAAATCAAATTTTGGTCCTTAAAAGTCCTTAATTTTGGCCGAAATAGGCAGAAGATTCTTAATTTTAATCGCCTGAAATTTCTGCCTGTTTTTACGACTGCCATTTTGAGTTTGAATAGTATTTTGGAGGAATTATTTTGGTGATTCACTGACATATATGGTTATCTTTTGAATGGGTTCTAATTTGTTCCTGTTTCTAATATAGATGATGGGATACTCGAGTTTCTAGGCAAGAAGTGAAACATAAGCATTTTGAAATTAATTTTTTCTAACGAAGAGCTCTTAAGCAACTTTTTGCTTTTGGGGATATGAATTCTTCTTTTACTAAACGGTTCTAAATTTGGCCAGTCATCAACATTTTGCCAATTTTAAGATCAGTTTCTATTGAAAATTTTTAATTTTGAAATTGGAGGATTTTACGACGATTTTATAAGCATTCTTAGCATTGATAAATTTCATTAAAATAATGGTAATATATTGAAATTATATTTAAAAAATAACATTAAATCTCTTCAGTGCTCATGCGGCATTCCACTGATGCCAGGGTTTTTTTTTTTTTTTTAAATGGCTTTATAAACTGATGCACGATTGAGCTTGTGCTGCTATCTATCTTTCTGGCAACTATATACAAATAAGTAGAAATCATCAAAACAACGCTATTTTCATTTTAGTGCTGAGAGGAACAGGTTATAAGCTAATGTGCACTGTTGGAGTCTAGGACATGCCATGCGACACTTTTGATTCTAAATGTAAGTATTTTAAAATTTATATATTCTAGTATTTTTAATTTTTAAAATTATCAACAGCTGTCCTTAGTAGTCTATTTTTTTTTTTTTTTTTTTTTTTCTTCTTTTTCATTTTAGTGATAGGTAAAAGAAATTGTTTGTGAATATATTTCTAAATGTAAAAAGAATATATTTCTCCTGGTATTTATAATTTTTATGGGCAACAATTTTTTTATTACTTATTTTCTTACTTTAGAGTCAAGATGACTTCTCAGAAAATATTCAGTATGCCAAATGAACGTGATAGAGGAATAGTACTACGTATGCTCATGGAAGAAGATGAATCAGGTGATGAGTTTGATGATTATAGGGATACAGAAGAAGATAGAGTGGAAACGAGAAGAAAACAGACACCAAGCAAGATATTGATTCCAATGATAGCGATAGTGATGATTATATTGCGAATAACTATTTCCTAGGCCGAAATAAATCATCAAAATGGTCAAAAGTTTGCCCACCTAAAAATAAACGCACTTGGCGACATAATAATGTCACTCATTCACCAGAGGTGCAAGGTGTCGCGAAGAATGCTTGAACGCCGGAGCAATGTTGGGCATGTTTTTCCGATAATGGCATGCTATCTAATATAGTTAAATTCACAAATGAAAAGATATCAACAGTACAGGAAAATTATTCTTGGAAAAGGGATGCCCATTTGACCGACATAATTGAAACAAAAGCGCTTCTATGCATATTATACATTTGTGCTTCTAGAAAAGACAATCATGCAAATACCAAGGAGATATGGTTCTCTGATAAAATGGTTATTCAGCTATGCCATCTAATAATGTCTGAAAAACGATTTAGGTTCCTTTTATATTGTTTGAAGTTCGACACTAAAAACACACGATACAGAAGAAAACTGACAATTTAGTGCTCATACATGATGTGTTTTCTTCATTTGTGGAAAATTGTAAGAATGCTTATTCAGTTGGTGAGTATTGTACAGTTGATGAAAAGTTAGAAGCCTATAGAAGTAAATGTTTCTTCAGGCAGTACATCCCTAGTAAACCAAATAAGTATGGGATAAAATTATTTACATTAGTAGATACTAGGATGTACTATACTGTAAACCTAGAAAAATATGCTGTTAAGCAGCCAAATGCCGCAGTTGTAAAAATTTTCTATGCTTTTAGAACACGCTCAGCAAATATAAGCTGATTGCTAATTTGTGTAACTTACTAAATGAGACAATTTCACTTGTATTTTTCATTTTTATTTGCGTAAGTTAAATAAAATTAAATATCACTGTAAACTAAAGTTTTGTTATTTGTGATATGATATCATAAATATATATGTGTTACTTCAATAATCCCTTTGCATTCATAAATTTAAGCTTAATGACCTAAATAGGTATTAATACAGCAAAAATATACACCGTGCGACCTCTAACGTAACAATATGCTACACGAGCACTGCAGGGTTAAAATAAAACATTTTTATTTTTTACTGTCATATTATAAAGTTGCATTTTGGCAACTTATCATACAATATTTTGAATCTGAAAAACAAACAAGGTATAATGCTATAAAGCACAGTTTACGAAACAGTTCTTAGCAAAAGCAAAATTAGCTATGTAATTAATTAAAAATGTCTTCTTTTCAATTTTTCATAGTGTAAGATTTTCCCGTATAATTGCGTCAGAATATACATCAGTTTTCTCTATAAAATTTATTTAACACGTCCGCCACTCCCCCCTTTTTTTTTCAAAATATTTCTGGCTTTTTGCTGTTACATAATTGGTAGGGATAATTTTTCTTTGGGATTTTAGAATGCAGCATGCACAGTTTAGAAGGATTTGAAGGCAAGATTTTTAGACCCACAATTCTAGAAGATTTCAGATAGTGGACAAAAAAAATGTCTCCATGTATTAAACATATAATGGATGTATTTTACAGAAAGTTTGCGATGAATTTCTACTTTTTTGGAGGACGTCTGGAAGAACAATGAAGACATAATATTTGAATGCTTTACTTATGTGTATAATGTACTAGTGTTTTAGTTATATATATAAATAAATATGTTAATCGTTTTCCTAACATACTTATCTTCCTTTGTTTTCTCTACTTTTCACTAGACACAAGCATGGAAGATATCAAAATTGCTTCTAATCTTAACACATGGACAATCGTTATAGAAAGGAATTTTTTTATTAATAAAAAAATTAAAAACTCGATTCATATAATATGTTTTAATGCATCCTACACAGAGCTGGCACTAGGCATTTTCCCACCTGATGCAATCTCTGTGGATCCTAAATTCTGCTGCCTAGTGCCTTTCTAAATTCAGCTTCCAATGCCTGCTCTAAATTGTAAACGTTTTGCCATTTCTAGATTTTGTAGCTTGGTATGTCACTAAATCCAAAAAATTCTGCCATACCAGCTCTGTAACTCGTCCTTACCATATATATTTCATATTTCTTCTGAAAATTCATATTACTAAAAAGAAATAAAATTTGCAGCTTTTTCTATACATCAAAATTGTTAGTTTTTTTTTTTTTTTTTTTTTTTTAATTAAATCCAAAACCTAAATGAAAGGAACATGTTGAAGAAAGAAACTGAATACACAAAGAAAAATTATTCTTCAAATATATGTATAGTTATTATTATGTAAATTACCTAGTTATTTATGATTTCAACCTTTAGTATTATTTTCCATTTTTCTTTCCTCGTATGATAGAGTTACTGAGGCAGCTTAAATTAAAATTAAATTGTACAGTCTTTGACCACTAGTCCACATTTTTAGTTTGAATTTGACTATTCTTGTTTAATCATATCACCCTGAGCTGTGATTGTTTTTGTTAGCATCAGAACATGCCTTTACATTTTAAGTTCTTTTTAAGTAAGTGGCTTATTTAAACCTTTGTCTCATGTTGTAGTCACTTTCAGACATAGCAATAATTTGCTTCTCGTCTGTCGGGAAGGGGGGTTAGATTATTCAACTTTTTACCAGATAAAGTAAGCACATTGTAGAAAGGTTGAAAAGTTAGGAGATAAAGCATGCAGAAGCTAGTAAGAACATTGGTTTGCATATTGAGACAAATTTCTGATTATTAGAAAAGATGCTTAAAGAGAAGAAAGTCGATATAAATTAGCCAAAATGTCTTAAAAGGCTCCAAATTAAAAACACAATAAAAGCTACAAAACATAAAGGTTTTGTAGATTTTAATGTGCAATTATCCTGATATGGTTTAAGAATCAATGTCTTAAATTACATGTATTTTAAAATGTGAAATTTTATTAAATTGTGATTTTTAATAGGGCTTTTTTTTAACAAATATTGTTAAAAATAAATAAAACAATAGTGATCATGTAAACCCATAATGACCAAGGTTATTTAATTATTTTTAACTAACTGCTTACCTTTAAAAATTATCTCTGCATATTAAAGTGACTCATTGAATTTAATTAACCCTTACTGTGGCAGTACCTCTTCCATACAAAGCCAAGGCTCTAGGGTTGCTTGAACGCTCTGACGTCACGAAAGTCGTCTCTCCCTATCCTCATCTTATATTTTACAGCTTATATAAATTTTATTGTTGGAAGAAACTAATTCAGACGCATATGAGCAAAAATTTTATTTCGGCTAATCACGAATACAGTGTGTAAAATACTTAAATTACTTCATGAAAAAAATTTTTTGACGATGACTGT